TAAGGCAGAGGTTGGGAACTGGATATACTCAATCCTTTTTAAGTATTTTACACATTGAAGGTGCAAAACATTTACTGAGTAAACCGCATGAATCTTCACCCAATTATGCAATGTCACCTGCATTCTCCAAATCTGAAAACTTGCCACCTGGAGAAATATCAGTCTAGCAGTCCTGGCATGAGGACATGGTCATTTCAAAAATAAAAGAAGAAAGATAGTACTGACCTAATGAACACTGCCTTCTGGGGTGAACTCCGGTAAAAATGATCCCTAAACTCGAAATCAGCTTCAGATTGCTGTCCACAGGAACTGTAATAAACGTCCCAGGAACACCTTTGAAGGACAGACAGCACCAAAATACCGAAGGACGTTTTCAGACCGAGGAAGGGGGAAAAAGATGAAAGGAATGTCTGTGCTTACGAACTTTGTCGCTGCATCCTCGACCCAGTCTAAAATCAGTCTGATTCTCACTCGTACATCGTACAAGTGAGTCAGAGATTCGACGAGGTCTAATGCAACCAAGAAGCTCAGAGACGATGTTCATCTAACTGGTTCCTCTATGGTTTTCACAAGACCATCTATTATCTATCCGGTCAATCGGTAGGATGACCAACCGCATCATTCAGTTGGAACCTGTTCACCTTCCCATACCAAACCCAAATGTTACGGAAACTCCAAGACTAAGGGTGCACCTCCATCCTCCCCAAAAATTAAATAAGGCAAAGCAAAGCTTACATCTTTAATTAAGTAGGTAATTATTCCAGTTATTTTGTAATTTTAGATGGCTGCCAGTTAACGTTCTAGGACGACTGTGTCTTGTTTTACTGGACCAAGAACCCATAGTTGTGCTACGGGTGTGACTCGAATGCATACGGAACGAGAGAACCAGTACTGAACCAAATAATTGGATGTGTTTTCTAATTTTAACCAAAATCTTTATCTGTATATCATTTATATGAATGCGTTGTAGTCTTCAATGGAATCCTACTTGCCTGCAAAGTTTCTTGATTGTCTTTCGTTATATCTGCATTGTCATGCAGACCGTAGACTTCCGGACTGGGATTAATTGGCAAAGACCTGATGTAGTCCACAAACTGTTGATGCGGCCCATCATCGGGGCAGTAGTAGACTCCAGATTGGGATAACCTATGCGAGGGAGAAGTCACAGATGCGATGAACATTGATGCAACATTAAAGAAATGATGCAGTGCCTTCTGTGATCTGACCATTAATGACTTCTGCCTAATCTCCGAAGTGGATATCAACTCCTCTGTAAAATATGAGTATACTTCGTGTAAATATAATTAAAATCACCAATCGCATCTTGAGGAAACCTCAGTTACGCGGTCCGTCTGTTTGGAGTCTTAGGCAAGAACGAAACGTTGAAAGCTGCCTCCACGATTGTAATGCTATCGACTGCATGTATACCGGCTTTACGGAACAGGGATCTCAGTTAAAGGTAATTCGAGAAAAGTGAGGGAGGTTGATTCAATCATTCGTTTTGGACTATGACACTCTTTAAACCCTTGCAGCTTCATGAAATACTTCAGCACACCAATCGAAAGAAATGAACAGAAACCCCAATATAATGGAAACCTTAATATAAAAGAAAAAAAGTAATACCCCCTAAAAGACATCATTAAGGTGAGCGATTGAAACGACGCGTAGAAAAATTTACTGCTCTTCTGTTGTCTCAACGCTACCTAAACTATTCGATCAATTTCGGAAACCTCAAGGATAAATTTTCCTTCTCCATTTCATCTATGACGATCTACCAGTTTCCGTTAGCACTTTCAACGATTTATAGGGAGAGGAACGTTCAGACAATTATCATTAAGAATCAACAAGCACAAATAAGCCTGGATGAATATTAGCATATGAAAAACAATTATTTTACATGTGTAATCATTGTATATTTTGCAAGCGCGGGACATCGGACGAACGAAAACATGTTCTATTTGATCTATGAATTACCAGAAAATAAATTAAAAGCTGTTAATCAGCGTCATTTTGCACCAACTGAAGAGATAGAGGCTCGTTCGCCTCAGTTTGACTTTCAACACAGCCGACCAAAAGCATCGTGGCATTTGATATGGCCCAAAGACGTAGACCGGCGGGAATGAAGCGGTCCATTGAACCCAGGAGAATAATCTATTTTATTAATTTCATTCACCTAACAAAACTCAAAACTCGATTATCCAATATAACTGTGTCTCGATTGGTTTTAGCAGATATTGGGGTTCGATCTGAAAGTTTGCGTTGGTATACGAAATCGATTGGCACTTCAAAGCTGGAAATAGGCCACTGTCGTTCAATGCATTATTGAAGAGGAGTCAAATCGAAAAGTATATCTTAGTAAGTTTGAGAACACTAGTTTTCAGAGTGAAATTAGTGGTCAGAACGCATGAAGCAAGCAATCGATACGGGAACATTCGGTTTGTCACCCTAGCCTCCCGGATTATACTGTCTTTCTAATCAGACAGACTCTAAAACCTATAAATGAAAAGATAGTTCACTGAGGGGATAGGATGAGCAGTGAGGTCTAACAAGGTTCAAGGTTTTATGTGACGGCAAAACAAGTGTGATTGTGCATTTGTATTTCATTGACATGTAATTTCACACCGCCCCGCTAACTTGTGGGTCAAACTTTGGTTAGCCGAAGGCTCCGATTGTGGATTCCCTAATAAAATCCACCTGCCTCAGTCTGGACAACCTGACTGTATTCGGCTCACATGCAAATCGGGGAACGTCTTTTTTTGATAAACATTATTGTACCATGATTTGTTGGTAAACACAGTTTGACCTCAGACGGGTGTGAAATATAAATATAACT